TATAAAAAAAATAATTTCAATATTTTGCGACTTTGTTTTGATGGTTTTCCATTGAAACTTCGGATAACTATTATTAATATTTATAAATTCGCACTTTCTATGAATTTAATAAACTTAATTAAAAACATTTTGTCAGATTTTAATTCTTAGGATTATAGAAAACATAATATTTTGTTCAGTTTCTATTTCGTTTATAGGTATATTTTAACTGTTTTTAAGGGAGCACCAAATCATTAAATACGATTTTTTTGGAAATGGTTAACATTATCGATAAAATGACGTTTCTGAAAAAATAATTTATGACAGTAAATGCTTTATATAAAAAAATGCATATAAAAAGTTATAACCAATTTTATAACAAATAATATGTATAAAAAAACTCCCAAAAAAAATGCATAAACAAAAAATAGGAATACCTATTTTCATTATGAATGTAAAAAAACAACCGGAACTAAATGATTAAGGTATGTACTTAATATTTTCCAAAAAATCTCGAATTTTCAACTGAAATTTAGCTGATTTAGACAAATGATAAATGTCTTATATAAAATATCAACTTACAGTTTAAATTCGTTTTATTTGGATAATTATTAAGTATTTTTATAACGAGTGAACTCCATATAAACTAAAAACAATCAAATTTATTTCACAGGCGTTTTTTTGTTGGCAGTTTTAGAAGACTTAGAACTTAACGTGTATTTCTTGGATACAAAAGTTTCTATATAATTCTCTGAGGACTATAATTCGTCAAAGTTTTTACTTAAACAAAAATCCAGTTTTACACAAACCACTGGAATGAAATCATCGAAAGTTCTTTATGACACCTTACTGTGAGCCGTAATCAACCAGGTGTAACAAAATGAGCATTAAGCACTCTATCATTCTCCGTTTCTTAATTTTACAGCTTAGAACAGCATGGTTTTTCATTTATATTTACTGCTACGTGAGCTATCAATTATTTTATCAATATATTAACTATTTTGTTGATAAAGGCTTTACAGGGTTTGTGAGAGCTCGTTTAATATTATCAGTGTATTTATTATGTGTCTGACTGAATAATGAGCCTTTTTTTAATCAATTTATTTCAATTTAATTGAACCAGTATTTCATCGAAATCAATGTATGAGTTCAAGGGAACTCAAATTTTTATTATTTCATATAAACCTTTTGGACGACATATTAGAAAAAAAGCATAAACAAAATAAGCACTAAGCAACACACAACGGTGGCTTTAAATTAGTTTCATGACTAGTACTTTTATACAATTTCTCAAAAACGAATCAATCCATTACTTTTTTCTTTAATTACTTAGATGGCAGTTATTTTACTAAATTATTGTACTTATTTATTGCATCGGAGTAAAGTGCATTTTGTTTTATTTGGCTAGACACGTATTATTAACAAATACATAACGTACATCTAAAAAAAAATTGAATGAAGAAGCTGTTCAGTCAATTTGAATTGAAAATTTCGTTTCGGCGATAAAATTTATCGGTTGTCCACTGAATAATGAACGCTCTTTTTAGCTATCCTTAGTTTACTCGAATAATTAGCACGCTACTTGGGATAACTCAACTAATACTGTTTGTTTTCTATTTTTCTGTAACGAAATGGAGTTCAGTAATCTCTGTTAGCTGCTTTCAAAGGAACTTTACAATATCTCCGAGAGAATGTTGAAAATAAGACGTTCTTAAATTATGTTTACATTGTTAGCGTCTTTTTCCGCTCATAATTGTATTAACGATGCCAATTATTACACGTATTTGCCGTTAAACAAGCAACAGTGCAGGAGAAAGCACGTCTATAATTAGAAAAATTCGGGAGTTGAATCTAATTTTCTTTAGGTACTAAACAAAAATTATTTAAATAACTGTAGTAATTATAACTATATACAATCTTATTCAGAGTGTTGAAACAAATTTTTTCATTGAAGAAATGCAATAACATAGGGAAAAATATACAGTATATTTAATGCATAAATAATAAACTTTGTTTATAACAAAATATGTGCAAATTAGACATTACGATATTTGAGTTCCTTGGCTCGCGAGGCATCGGGTTAAAAAAAAAAGACCAAAATTGCTCCATTAGAAGCCTCTCCCACTTTTCGTGTTTTGAGTCACTTTTCGCGCCTGCGAGCGACAGCTTTTCCGCTGATTTATCTATGTTACCTATAACTTATGGATATAAAATTTTTTTCCAGCCTTGAACTCGGAAAAACGAAGCCACTGGATCAAATATTATTGCTAAATTGTTTATAAATTAACGGTAATTGCCGATAAACTTTGACCGCTTATATCTCGAGAACCAATAAACGGAATTTAACTTTTTTTTTTAAAGAAGCGTCTTTCCGAGAATGTACTCTAAAATTATAATTTTTGAAAAAAAACTAAATTGTAAATTGATAAATGTAAACTAATTGTTTAAAAATAAAAAAAAATAGTGTTAATTTTAGAAATTTACTGTTGCCGTCCTAATCAACCGTTTCCAATTTTTCAAAAACCATTTGAAAGGCTGAGCGGTCTTTTCTATGGGAAAAATTTTTCAAGTATCTAGATACTTTTTTTGAGGCTGTGCAACAAATTTGAAAATTCGAAATTTTTTTTGTCTTTTCAAAAAATTATTTTGCGAAAACTATCCAACCGATTTTAATGAAATTTGGTGTGGTGTTTTATTATACTCTAAAGTTTTTTTTATCAAAATTAGAATGCCCTCGGAGCAATTAAACTATTTAAAAAATATATCCAAAAAACTCGATTAATTTGCCTTTTTTCATCAATTATTGCTATTTTGCAGCATCGGTAATAAATTTAAACATTTTTAACGTACAGTATATTGTGCAAAATTAAATTCTAAAACTCTTTTCCTCTTCAATATTCTTCCAAAATGCATAGGTTCCAGGATATAAGTAAAAAACTCAGATAAAGCAGGTATTTTTTTAATTTTTTATATTTTGATGTGCTTGTCAACTAAAGCATTGCTAAGAAGTTTGTTTATTTTAGCGATCTTCGTAGTTTCCCTTCGGTGAAATCTCGGGAATCAAGTAAATGACGATGAAATAAAAATAATGTAAATATGTACTAACTTTATACTAGTCGTTTTTTCCTGCAATATCATCATCTAAACATTTATTATACCAAAACTGATGCTTTTGTTGAACGAAATACTCGATTAAAATGTTGGCACTTATTCCTGGGCACCCTGTATCGTACAGTAGTTGCCGTTGATGATTATCATAGATCATTTACAAATTACAAACGGATAAGTATTTGTTATTCATCCTATAAGATAATTCGTATTAAGAGAAACGCCTACTGACACCGACTTGACAGGACGGTACAAATCAGTATTCGTCTCAACGTCTGTTCAGATTATTCGTATCCTCATTCGCGTACGTGGATGATAAAAATCACATATTTGAACATTACGTCACCAGTTGGTAGTAAGAGAAAAATATCCCTTATTATAAAATAAGTTTTTAATCCACCAACTAGGTTTTCAATTGGACCAGGCCAGGCTGTAGCGTTATGGAAATTAAGTACATACTGACGTTCACAAAAAGTTAATAACAATAATTGTAATCCGTGAAAAGCATTTATTTTTCATTTCTATGACGAGTCGAGTTACGAAACCCACATCGATAAGTAGATCGGAACATCGATAATAGTAAACATTTTTCAATTTACCGTGAAAAGTAAAAACGCTATTCTCATCGCGGTTTGTAGAAGAGTGAAGTCACTGCAGATTTGATTTTTATTCCGTAAAAAGACAAAACCACATTATATTTTGTCTGTCGACGGAAAGCACACCGTAAATGAAATAATATTTTAATTCTGAACAGTTTTTTTTTTCGGGTTTATTTGTCCTTTTACTTTTAAAATGTTGTACAATTACGTTTCCTGTTTTGCCTCTTTCTATCGACGCATGGTAGTTTCATACAGTAACAGTGTTGTTACAACAAGCTAGCCTCAGATTCTATTGATTTTGGTGTTTATTATATATGGACCTTTTCGGGAATTGTGATCGTGATAATCCCAACAACAGGGCCATTGATTTTGTCATTCTCTGAATGAACCGGTTTATGTTAAAAAGTGTTTGAAAAAATTTAATGTTAAATTTTTAATACCACCTTTAATTACGTATTAAAGTAATAAACCACCTGTTAGTGATCCATCTGATCTTAAATCGTCGATGCTCTTTCGATCAATTGTCAAAACAATTTTACCTTTTCATACGGATTTGGAGGTTCGTTTTGAAAATTGAGCTTTTATGAAAGCCCCAGAGAACAGTGGTCGTACTAACATATTGTTCGAGTAAAAACAGTTGAATTTACGTCAACTTAATTAGTTCAAAAATGCTTCGTTAAAAAGTTATAGGGTCTTAAAGTTCTTTTTTTTTTCGAAAATACTTTCGGTATTATCCATCGATTCCACATAACAAACGCCTTGTCAATTTCTCCTATAGTTGCTGGATTTCGAGAGAGAATCTTAAATTATTATATTTGCGAACTTTTTCTATTTATTCTGGTGAAGATTGATATACAATGCTCTGATTATTTCATTAATTTGTCTACTTATAAACATGTTACTTCCATTGTTACATCAAGATAAACTTTTTTAAATGGTGTTTAAATTCGCAAGTAGTTTTCTTATTGCGAAATGAAACTTTCAATCGCAATTAAAAAAAGTTAAAGATTCCATTAAATTACGAAAATTGGGGCCATTTCTGGTTAAAGGAAGGAACGGAAAATTGATTTGTTTATGAAATTAATTTATTTTTGCCTATTTTGTTTATAATATCACGGTTATCACTAATCAGAAACGAGCTAGAGGGGTGACCCTTTGACTGGGATCACCCTATATTTCACAGATGGAACTATACGAATAATTATAGTAAAAAACGGTTGTAAGATGAAGGAAACCCCGTGAGACTACCTTAAATCCGCCAAAACCCCCCACTAGCCATTGATTTTACAGAGACTGTGACCTATTAAGTGGAAAATGGACGTATTTAAGATAGACCAGTCGTTGAGCGGTAACCTAGGCAGTGCACCTTCCCCGGATAAGATCAACCCCGAGGTGTCCTTCGATGCCGGCCAAGAGTTCAACTTGTGTTTCTTCGACAACCCCGAGGATAGCAGCACCCAGGGCTTCAGCGACCCGGGGTCGGTGGGATCGACGACGGCGAGTTCGCCGCCGCCGCCGCCCCAGCAGCTCACCCCCCTGCACATACCCCTGGCGGGGAGCAGCACCCCGGTGCAGAACCCAGTATTATTGTCGCCTCCCGGAGGGACCTCCTCGATTAGTATCAAGCAAGGTATTTAATAGCGACAGTTTTTTTTTAATAATATGTCATAAAGACTGGGCCAAATCAACTGGGACTCTCGGAAAATACAATGACCCAATCATTTTTCTAAGGTGGCTTAGAAATACTATTTTTGTTGAAAAATTACCATACATAAATCATTCCGAAGTCAGTTGAACATGTATAAAAACGCCTAGCAATTAATTTTTAGCAGGTGCCTATAATAAATTAAAGTTACCTGAATCACATCAAATTCCGCATTGCTGCACTGCACTGATAGGCCATTGTTTATGAATTTATGGCCAGGTCGCCCAGTGCGGCTGTGTTTGTGCCGCGTTTGCCCGCGCGCTCATTCTTTAACTGGACGACCAGACTTGTATATGGGTATGGCTAAATAAATATGGGAACAAGTTTTTCAAATATTTCAATGCCGAGTTGCTGCGACAGCGACCGAACCTGGTACATACTAACAACCCCTTGGTTCTTCAATTGAGATCGGAAAGACTATACCTATTTTATTTTTAAAATCGGGGCACATTATTTAGGGAATTTAGTAGAATTATTATTTTTTTATTTGATTAGTATTTGGACAATTGTTTCTGTAAAGTTTATCAACCTTATCGGTGTAAATTTCAGTGCTAGTGTAGTAATTTTTCGATCATTTCACCCTCAGAGCAAGTAAATTTTGAGTATTGTTGCTATTCTATGCCTACTAACACAGAATATTGCACGACCAGTGTCGCACTAGGCAAAATAAACTTTTTAACAAGTACCTATGCTTTCATACTGCCTATAAATTAGTAGGTCCCTCTCTGCCAGTAGGTATAAAATAATGTTTTTGCCATTAGGCATTGAGTAATAACAATTAAAATGTTTCACATGAAATTAAGGGCAATATATTTGTAACTGGGAATACAATGAATCAATTGCCTTCAAATTTTGAATAAGGTACAATAGTACTTAGTAATAACCCTCTACCATAACAAAAAATGTCTACCCATATGTAGATCCAGTGAAGCGTTGTATCATAACCACACCACTTATCAGAATAAAATATGTTATCAATAGTTTTCAAAAAACAGCGAGTATTAATATTGGGGAGTTTTATCACAACGTGACAACAACGCTTAATCTAATGTTACACAGCTGATGCACACCACGTGTGCACGCGGCAGACTTGTCCTACGGAGAAAATGTAAACAACTATTAATGTGAAACATTTAGTAAATTTCAAGACAATTATTTGCCAGTTTTTAATAAATAAAATCAAATGTATCGATTTAGTAGTGTGGTGCTTAAATTTTAGCTCGAATTTTAGTAATTATGAATTTCTTAAACCAGGAACTTAACTTTTAATAAAATTACGTATTTAAAAAATATGTAATTAAAATACCCAAAGATTCACGTCGTCCAAATAATCATACGTATTAAAAATGATATGGTACTTACCGAAAAGCAAAAAATAAGTAAATTTTAAACGCACAAGTACAAAACAAACTACAACATATGCTCAAAATGTCCACCACCATTTTCGATGCATGCACGACACTTTCGAATCCAATTTTCGCGCACTAGTTGGAAAACGCCTCAAAAAAAGGAAATAGTGGTACGCAAAAAACACTCAGACACGGTCCAATTCCAGATACCAACTGAATTGCGTATTGCTGGCTGGATAGCTTAGTACCTCGTGCTATTCGCTTGTCACATTACTCGATATGAATTTTATCGAATTTTAAATTTATTACAAAGCTAATTATTATTTTTTAGAATTAAACATGAAGAAGTTCAAAAAAGTGATAAACATTGTATTTTATGGTATTCTGCACGCAGTTATGTCAATAGTCATTAATTAATCGAACTTTTGTATATCAACTTGCAGATTTTGAAAATTTTTTCACGGAAATGATTGGGTTTAGGACCCATAAGGTTTTTTTGTTTATTTTAATGTATTTTATCGTCTGTTAAAATGAAGACAGTGAAACTTAGCATACCCCCTATAAATGTCACTCCTAGGCCTGGAAGAATAGTTAACATTTCATGTCGTAGAGATGATAATTTGCTGACTGCTAAACAAATCATTTCCATATTGATTTTATTATACCTGCCTGCGCTCTCGTCGCAGTTCCCGACAACTCCAAATCGTTGTCAATTATTTACCAAGTTTGACTCCGTATTGCAACAGGCATACATTTTAAGCTACAGCTTATTAAATATTTATGGAAAGGATACTAGTTACGATCGACTGTTTCCTTGTTGGCCCATAATTGTCGGCAATCCCTTGCTACTTTCCGAAAATCAACTTGATGTCTAGAGTACCTGATGCATCAATTAAAACCATAGTAGAAATCGCAAAAATACAGGATGTTCCAGATCTAGCTTGACAGGCATTATCTGGGAAACTAGTAGAGATAGAAAGAAATGTTATATAGAAAAGGTTTTGTGTTTAATAATTTTATATAGAACATGGTTAATCAAATGTTCAGAAATAAAAGGACTCAAAAACTTAAAAATATACAGCGTGTTCCATTTAAAAAATTGAAGTTCCGCAATATACCATCTTTTTGGAGTACCCTGTATATTTGAAAAAAAATGATTATTCGCATTTTTTAAGCAGAAAACCTTTTTTATATAACATTTATTTCTATCGCGACTAGTTTCCGAGATAATGGCTGTTAAGATAGCTCTGGAACACCCTGTATATTCGCATTCCTTTTAACATGAACCAGCCTTACCCGGAATGTGACATTAGACTCAGGCATTTCAGACAAGAGAATTATCAAAACAAAACATTTTATATTTTCATTACTATAAAGCATGTTTGAAATAAATATGTACATAATACGAAATACAAACAAACGAAAAACGACGATGTACGTACATCATACAATAAACAATTTTCATGCCACACTAATCGTAAATTATCAGAACTTAATGAACCTAGCTAGAATTGACAATGTAAATGAAAGTCTGTTATTTCCTATTGAAATTACACAATTTGTGCATGTGCTATTATTCCCATAATCAACACAATAATACATAATCGATACGGAATCATAAATACGACTTTCCGCTACCGAAAACATATTTCTGCAGCGGGAACGGAAAGCCATTCGCTGAACGCAAAAGACAATACCTAAAGCAGTTACACCCAGCGTATTTACCGCCCAAAGGGTTCAATTCTTTCCTTCAATTGCGCCGAAGAAAGGCGCTTTATATTTACATACACACAGTTTGCTATGCTTTCATTGTGTTCTCTTTGTATTAGAACAAAGCTTTGTGAGAGCTTCCTTGCCTTAGAACTTAGATGCTAAGCAGTACAGCATAAAAATGTTTTGTAATAAAACAAAGAAAGGCTTGCCAGGGCCGGACTAGAAAATCCACAGTTCAATGTACAGCATTTCATAAATCTATTACATGCTAATATGGATATGATTTATTTTTTATTTTTATATACAGGGTGTTTTAGGATTAAGTCGACAAATTTTAAGGAGATATTTCTCATAAAAAAAATAAGAAAAAAATCAGGTATAATTTTTTTTCCAAAGACGCTTCATTTTCCAAATATAGGGGTGTTAATCATTTTTAAAAAAATTCGAATTTTTTAAATAACTTCTAAATGAAGAAGGCTATTTAAGCCAAATTTGGCATGGCACATCTTCTTATAAGATACCATTTTTCCATAGAAGTAGAAGTCCTGCAAGCAACCAGTGGCGGAGTTATGTGGACTCAGACTCATTAAATTATAAAAAAATTAATACGGCCCTACTGAAAATAAAAAATGATGTTGTTTTTAGATAGAACAGTTTGTTATTGACAAAAAGTTTACATTCATTTTTTTCCTAACTCTTATAGTTTCATGGCAAAATTGATTTTTCGGAAGGGTGCTTCTGGATTCTGTCGATAAACTTTAGAAAGACGTTCCTCATAAAAACCTAAAAAAATATAGTACCTATTAAAATTGGTCTTAGTCTTGAGTATGTGTGAGTCAAATAAGCCTTTTTGTCTCCCCTTCCTTTGGGTTTAACCAATAGTATTAAAATTATTTAGGAAATACTTCGTTTTTGAGATATAGGGTGTTTTTTTAGAAAAAAAAATTATGAAAACAATAGAAATATTTAAGTACCTAACATCTAATGTGACTATGTCGTAATGCGACAACGTAACGACCCTTGCAATACTCCTAAATTTTTTCAGGCGGTATGTAGTCACCTCATTTACTTGTGTTGTGTAATTTTAAATAAAATAAGATGGCAAACAATACAAGACAATTTATTTGTAAATTGAAACAACCAAAAAATTACCAATTAATTTTATACCTAGAAAAGCGAAAAGTGACTCAAAAATGAAATGATTTAAAAAATATTTTGTTCAAAATGGGCGCCTCCGGACTGTAGACAAGCACGACATCTTCTAATTATGGAGGTAGTGGCCGATCGACACTGAATTGGAGTTAATTCTCGACACGCTTGGACTATTCGCTGTCTTAGATCTTCTAGGGTATCAACTGGCACCTTATAGACTTTTTGTTTACTTATTCCTGAAACACCCTGTATATTCCAAATTATTGAAAACAAATCGTGATGATAATTATATTTCAGTATTCTCATCATTTTCGAATTATAATTAATATAATATATTCATATCGAAAACAACATCTTATTATTGTTATTTAGTTTAATAACAGCACTTATCTTGTATCTAAAAAACGGATTATCATAATCCGCCTGACACTGTTATTATTATTTGAATATTAAGTAGTAACATGTAATCTAAAAATTGTATCTTATGTCTACAAACGTATTACATAATGACAAATAAGGAACATAATTTCACTTTGATAACATTACTTGTTTTCGTACGACAAAACGAACGCGACAAACTGGACAGGGAATTGACATATAAATTGTCAGTGAAAGCGTTTTAATGTATTGTATAGGATATTCAATGTATCAATCAAAAGCTCTATAGAAACGCAACTATGGACAAAACTAATTGCTTCCATATTGCTTCAG